TTTGTGTGTGTGTGCGTGTGTGTTTAAGCATGTTGCAGGAATTCTAAACTTGGCTAAGAAGCGACGTGACCCCACCGTGGATCTCATTTGACCGTCTCAGGGAGAGGGAGAATTCACCAGTGAGGCCTTCCCGGCTATTTTGTACAGAAAGCTGCTTTGACTTCGAACTGGAGACCTTTTATTAATATCATCATACCAACCTGGATTTTAAGAATAGGACATGCACATGGTATGTGTGAGTGTGCGTGTGCCCCGAGGAGGCTCAGAAAATAGAGCGCTTCCTTTTAGGTGCCAATCGAGGGAAAGTCGCGCGACACGTGGTTGCGTTGGGATATTTATGGATACAATTAAGGACAATTCCCCTTTTCACCGTTCTTCTAGGAATATTGCAGTGGCCTTCTTTCCGCCGTGATTAGATTTCTATGCGGACAAATACACTTTCCGCAGTGCCTCTTGACTGCTTTCGGCAGCATACGGCAAAAAACGGGACAATCAAGTGTCACTAACCCACTATGCTGGCGCAAACAAACATGGACACGATTTGAGTGCAGGGTCACGTGCTCAGCCTTCTGTCAATAAAGGCAACGTTTGCATGACGGCGATCTTGGAACAGCTGGGAAGTTTTGGCTCTGGTGGCTTCATGCTGTTAATTCACATTCCAGGCTAGTAGTTAGCGCTGAGAATCAACAATTCGTCCTTTTGGAACCAAGATGGGCAGAATTTGATGACACCTCCCCTGATCCATTTTGTGAATAGTTGGGGGCTGACAATTAGAAGTGTTAACGTTCACTATTTTCCAGCAGCCGGGCTCCCTGTTGCCTCTCACAAGGTACTACGACAAGCATTTGATCAGAATCAGAATCATATTTATTGGCCAAGCATGGAGAGCACACAAAGAATTTGACTCCGGTAGTACAGGCTACCCTCATATCATCATTTGATGTTGGGGAGGAGAGTCAAGGTCATTGGCAGAGATAGACATTTTTGTGTATTGTGTTGTGTTGGTCATTTCAGTTCCATGGTTTGTACTTTACCTTGATGTTCTTTTCCCAAACATTTTTTATTTGCAAACTTAGAAGCAAAATTTCCCATCATCAAACTCCAAGTGTTCGACATTAGCCGGTTCCACTCTATTTTGAGTCGTGTATTTTATCGCAGTATTTGGACAAGCTGCTATGAAAGCGAAAACAGATGTGTAGGCCATTTTTGTTGTCAATGCCGACGCTAAATGCTGCGATTGTCTTCCGTTTCTTCGCATGGATGGCAAAACAGCAAGAGTGTGGTTTTGAAAAACTTCCGCTTTGTCACTGGCTTTCGAGGCGCTGTTGTCACGTCAACAAATAGGCGAAGGGACGGAAAGTTTCAATCTGGTTTGAGTGCGCCGCAGCATCGTGTAAACAAAAGCACTCCGGCATTTGTCATTTTCAACTTCACCGCCGTGCTACGGCGTCATCGACAGCGAGCCTCTCCCAGGGAGTGCGGCCTACTTTGCACGCTGCCATTAGCGCAACTAATGTGAGTCAAGCAAGTAGGGAATACAAAGCCGTCAGATAATTGTGGAAGCCCGCTCAGACCCTAAAGGCCACCATCCAGCGTCACGACACGGACGGGCGTTTGGAAAATACGATGGGCCAGCGGGGGTTGAAATGTCAGGATGCGCTAATGTGATCATTGCGAACAAGCCATGTTCCAGCCGTAAAACAGATTAAGCTAATTGCATGGGTGTTGTTTGAAATCAGATGACGATGCAGCTATTTTCGGCCACTCGGCTGGAGAGATGACAAAAAAAAAACTGAAACGCTTGAATGCGGGGATATGTTAAAATGGGGACTTGGGGAAACGGCCATTAGTGTATTGAGACTAGACAGTAAAAGCTCTTGAACAAGTACTCATTAGCTGTGCTGATTTGAGTTTGGATTATCACATGCGTCATTGCAAGTTGCAGTCTAACTTTTCTACGTACGGAAGGTTTTACAATACAGGGATAAATGCAAGCATGCCCTAAAAAGTGAAGTTCTGTTTATTTGTTTAGCTCCAGAACTTTACGTTTGACCATTCCGTTCTGCTTGAAATAGTGGATAGTAGAAGGTTATGTGGTGAACCTCTTTTGTATCATTGAATCTTTTTTAGTTCGGACGTGCAAAAAGTGTGAATCTTGGAGTCGAATAATTACGCGATTGAGTAGTGTGGATTCAGAGTTTTTCTGCATTTAGAAAAATGGAAGGATGCATTGACCACTTTGAGCCATGGGCCCCAAATGGCCCATTTTGGAACACTTAACTTCTTTCACATCTTAAGTGAGGCATAAAAGTACCAATAATCAGGTCAAATTTGATTTTTTTTGTCCCCCCCTCCCCCTTCTGATCAAAGTCAACAATGACCCGATTCTCTGACGTCTCCGAAAGATTATTTTGAGTGATTATCCAATGCAGTGGGGGTGTGCGAAGTGTTTTTCCTCCTCCCTCTCAGATCTGATGAGGAAACGGTCCGGTTGACAGGATTAAGCCTGTTCAATATTCCATCCATCCGTCCATTATCTGAACCGCTTAATCCTCACAAGGGTCGCGGGCGTGCTGGAGCCGATCCCAGCTGACTTAGTAGGCGGGGTACACCCTGAACTGGTTGTCCACCATTCGCAGGGCACACATTGACAAACAATCATTCACGCTCACACCTCGGGACAATTTCGAGTAATCCATTTACGTGCAATGCATGTTTTTGGGAATGTGGGGGGACCCGGAGAAAACCCACGCAAGCACCTGGAAAACGTGCAAACGCCACACAGTGGGGGCCGATGGATGGATGGATGGATGGAAGCTACATAGTAGTGGGGAATAAAAATGAAATTGTGCAATATCTGGTGAGAGCCACACGATGGCAGGACAAAGGCACACTGGATTCGCTCAAAAGTCATGACATCATCCTCACGCACCATAAAGCGGATCAGAATTGTAAAGTGAAATGCATCTTCTCTTAAGACTAAAATAAGAAGTCTGCTTTTTGTTGGGCCAGCACAATATTTTCAAGGCACAGTAGATTGAGTTAGAGAGAATTACAGTGCAAAAAAATAAAAATAAAAATGAGCCTGCTCTTGTGTTATGAGTTAGTTTGACAGCAAGAGATTTTATTATTGGTGGAAGAGAAAATGCCTCAGGCTGACAAGTGCGAGTTGTTCTCATCGGAGTGCCCGGTTGTTTCCACAAAAGAGAGAGAAACAGCCCCAGCCTGCATTTCACATCATTCATGCGGCACCATGAGAATCTTTTCAATCGGCCGATGAGTCATTGCCGCGTGTGAGCGCGTGTACGTGCATGTGTGTGCGCCTCTGCAGCGACATTGGGGTCTTGCTTCAGATTAGGAGGGACAGGAGAGGGAATTGATTATGAAATTGGTTTCAAAGGAAAAGTTGAGGCTTGTGTTGTTTTCCCCTCAGAATTAAGAATATTGATTTAAATCCAATGCAGTTGTATCACTTGCATATTCATATCATTAACCCATGGGGCACATTCACTCCCTTGCATTAATCAACAAATATGCTAATCTCACAGAAAACAATGTCAGACACACACCCAGTTTCTGCCATATTTACTGTTTTTCATTTCACCTTTTTATATTTATGACCTGAAAGCATTTTACTTCCAAACATTTGCTTTATTACAACTGCCTAAGGGTATGTTAATGATGGAAGGAACGGAACTCTGTTAGAAATTGAGGATCCACCGTACGTTACTCAAGTGCATCGATGAGACGGTTCTTTGCAAAAGGCTGTCGCCAACTACTGGTCTGGAATGCATATTACATGTTTTTTTGCATTTCTTGTATGAAAATCGATTGGTCTGTTGTGATTGTGAAACTTAAACAGTACTACTGCACTGAATCAGACAATTCTCTTGACTCTTGCATTGGTTATTGACAAACCACATTAGATCAAAAAAACGCATGTATTGAAGTGGGGACCGTAATCTGTAACCTGTACACAGGCCTGTTTCCTGTTCTGCCTAAATCGGTATCCCACACATGCAGATAATGTAAGCTGTTATCACACCTGATTACCATTCAGACTCATAACAATGTGGATGTGCATTTCTGAAGGCCAAAAATCTATTTGTGGAAGTCCGGCATCTTCATTTTATCTCCCATCCCCACCCACCACTAACCCGATGGGGTTTTAGGTCGGTGGTAGAAGGACAGTTGGCAGCCGAGCGTCCGCGCTGCACTATTAGCAGACCTCCCAACTCACAGTGGAAATCAAAAGCAGGGACTCAGGAAATGGGTGTTGAGTGAGGTCACATCCCAATTACGGCGCATGTGCTGCTTCAGGTTGGGAAAAGCCAGGACATGTACCGTGGGATTAGGAGAATGTGCACATTTCCGTCGGAGGCCTCTGGGAGCGTTATACCTTGTGATGAGCATGTCTCTCTCTCTTTCTCTCTCTCTCTCTCTCTCTCTCTCTCTCTCTCTCTCTCTCTCTCTGACGGGGGTGTGCGTTATGGAGGGGGGGGGGTTGAAGCGGGCCTGATGGGCGGTCAGGAGCACTTTTGAGATGCAGCGGATGAATTTTGGGGGTCGCCGAGGCCTTGGCCCTGGGGGTCAACTCCCTCTCAGCATCCCCTCCGGGCGCATAGAAGAATGGCACGATCAAACCAAAGGAGTGAGGCTTGAGTCTCTCTCCTCCTCCTCCGACACTTTGGCTCAGTCCCTGCCGAGGAACCTGCCAGGGGCACATCTACAGTGGAGAGTTTTTTCTTTTTTTGGGATTAGATAAACCATTGACATGAGAGACTAACTGCAAGTGACAACACGCCTTTTCGGAATATCCTGTTTTACCAACCCTGCGCAGCTGCCCGAAGACTACGATGTATGCACGCCTTTATTTTCCTTCGTCTTCTCCCGCTGTGTGTGTGGCTTAGATTTGCATCGACTGGATTTTACAACACTGGATTGGGACTCGGACCCGGGTTTTGGGAAATCTTCTGATTCTTCTTATCTTCTCCAAACAGGGCCAAAGATATGAAGAACCGCTTGGCTTTCCTACGGCGGAGGAACGAATCTCCGGGAAGCAACCCAGCCGGAAAGTTGGACAAAACCATGAAGTCAGTCAAGTAAGTGGCCTCTTCCTGTCTTTGCGTGTGGGCGGTGTGAGCCACCTTTCCGGGTCTGGATTTGACTGCTGATGACCTGACGGTCGTCTCAGGAAGGTGCTTGTGTGCACCGTTGAAAGGGAGGCACCTTCGACTCGATAGCATTGTTTTCAGTTATAATTTAAGCTTGAAATGAACTCCTTGTTTCATGCATGACAATAAATTTACTTAAGTATGCAATGTTTCTTCGGCTGAGTGGAGGGGTGGGGGAGGGGGTGTAAATTCAAATCCCAATATACATTTCCCTTATTTGACAGTGAAAATTCCTTCTCCTGAGACAATGAAGAGATTCCATTGATTGTATTTCTGGCAAGTGAGTAGTCACTTCGCCAAAAAGTGACTTACCATTAGTGGTACACAGAGGGTAAAAAAAAAATAAAAAAAATTAAAAATCATTAAAACTTCTGAATATTAATTTCAATTCAAAAATGTCATAGATTTGAACCCTATTCAGAATTTTTCCTCACCTCGTGTTGCACATTAGGCACAATCATTTCCTGAATTTTAATCTTGAGTCCGAAGAAAACGATCCGTCTCTCTAACAGGGTGTTGGCAGGCCATTTAAACTCACATCAGTTTTCCAAACTCAAAGCCATCATTTTCCTTCAAAATGACATTCTTCTCTCCTCCGTTCCAAAGTCTTAAAACGTTGCATCGCATTGTGTCAGACCAGGTGTATTAAGGCAGTTTGAGTCTTTATTGTACATAAACCCTCCAAATTTGCAGTCTGTTTGACAAAGCCATTTCCTTATCGGCGAGGTCGTTCACGTTAAAGCAGTATTTCACATTGTTTCAGACACAAGTAGCATGTAAATAACTGGTCATTACAGAGACAGAGTGTCTGCTGGGTTCGCCAGATAAGACGCGTGCCTCCTCATGCAGTAAAAGAGAATCATGAAACGCAGTGTTCCTGTGGCGGAGGTTGCAGATAGTCTCTCTGAGGGAGGAGGGCGCTCAAACCAAAACATTCCTCCATTGGCTATTGGAAGCCCCTCCCATCCTGCCTCCCTGACTTCCATTCATTAGGATTATAAAAAGCTCCCCCCCCGGCGGAGTCAAGCAGAATAGACTCATGGCTCTCTCTGCTCTCACCACTCACAAACTTGAAACCAGCGCGCGAGAGCATTAAGACACGGACTGCAGTGACGAGGAAGGAAAGAAGGAAGGAAAGAAGGAAGCAAGGAAGGAAGGAAGCAAGCAAGCGGCATTTGGGCTCACTTGTGTGGCACGGTGCTTCTGGCGAATGGGTCACACCATGAGAAATCTAGCAGAGATGGGCTTACTCAAGAACCGCTCTGCCTTCATCTGCAGGCCCACCCCGGAGGATGCGCTCAAATGGGGGGACTCGCTCGACAAGCTGCTGGCGCACAAATGTAAGTGTCTTCAATTTCTTTCTCTTGGGCTCTGCCGTCTCTTCGTGTATGCGGTTGGGCGTGAGGACATAGAGCGCACTCGGGGTGGAGGGGTGGAGGGTGGGGGGAGGAATCAGAAGCATGCATCATCAACACAAACACATGGACATAGTCTTTGGCCACTAAGTTAATCCCCGACGCCCCCCTAAGAAACACAGGACGACTCCTACTTGTGTCCCCTCCACCACCAGCGTCAGTACTGATCAAAGCTGAGTAGCTGACGTAAATCCATTGCTACATCTGTTCCTCATCCCGCATGTAAATTCCTCTCTTCCGCGGAGTGAGGTAAGACTCCAGCCCGCCTTGCGCTCGTGCTTATCAAGCTTCTCTGCTGGATCCATGGGAACGGAAAGGTGCAGACGGGGAGGTGTGGGCAGATTGGGCTTCCTGACATTCTCTCTCGGAGATGCAGCCTTCCTCAAATCATTAACTCAGCTCTGAAAAGTCCGCCAGCTGCATTTGGCTCCAGTCGGATTGTTGTAAAATACGCGTGTCTTTGTACGAGGTCGCTCGTGCGGGACAAGGTCAAATAAAAAACAGTTTTTTTGGTCTGGAGGTGGGGTTAGTGCAAATACTGAGTACGATCCTACTTTTTGGGGTAAGAGGTTTTAATATTAAAAACATGAAGCGGTAGAACTGTTCTGCAAGACTGAGTACCAGGTCCTGACTTTCCAGCTTTTGGTGTCCTATTGTAGGTGTTGGATTGCGTAAAATCTGCCATCGTGCATTCCAATCTGCAAGTCCACCTTCCGCAGTTTATGAGGTGTCATTTTTCGGGTTAGGGATTTTAGTCCTGACTTTTTAACAACAAAAAGCACCAGGTGCAAACAGCGCCATATTTTCTTACTTTAGACATTTTAGTATTAAGCATGGAGTTTTACAAATTGGTAGTACCGTTCGCTGTGACTCAAGAGCAGGTTTATGGGCTCTAACATTCGGTGTAAATTTTGGCACCTCATTTTTTTGAGGTGAGGGAATTTAGTGCCAAAAGCCTGCCATTGCCTGGCCGCGTTGAACATCGCGGGGGGGGGGGGGGGGGGTTTCCAAGTCTCACTTTAAGGGATTGAGTACAAACATTCACCATTCTGCAAGTATTAGGTCTGTAATTTTGGAAGACTGCTTTCTTTGTTGTCGTTTTATTCCAAGCACATGACTGGAAACGGCAGAGCTATATTTGGGCTCCAAGGAGCGTTGTCATGGCGCCCCCGCTCAACGCTCTCTTTTGTGTATAGTCCACATCATCATCATCATCATCATCGTTTCTCCCTCCCTTCGCTCTGCTCTCCTTCAGATGGTCTGGCAGCCTTCAGAGCGTTCTTGCGCACTGAGTTCAGCGAGGAGAATCTGGAATTTTGGCTGGCCTGCGAGGAATACAAGAAGATTAAATCGCAATCCAAGATGGCCTCCAAAGCGAAGAAGATCTTTGCGGAATACATCGCTATCCAGTCTTGTAAAGAGGTGAGGAGGAAGAAAGACGCAAGTATCCGCCTGGATTGTCTGTCTGCTTTCCATGAACATCCCGTCCGTCTCTTCCGTTCCAGGTGAACCTGGACTCGTACACGCGGGATCACACGAAGGACAACTTGCAGAATGTGACGCGCTCCTGCTTTGAGCTGGCGCAAAGGCGGATATACGGGCTGATGGAGAAAGACTCATACCCCCGTTTCTTGCGCTCAGAACTCTATTTGGACTTGATCAACCAAAAAAAGGCCAGCGCCACTTCGACGTCCTCTTCGTCATAAGAGGCAAAACTATTCTCCCTAGAGGAGAAAGAGAGCGTGGTTGGGATGCCAAGTTTCTTCTGTCTTGCCCCCTTTTTTTTTTTCTTTTTAAGTCTATCGTCCTGTTTGCTCTAAACGTCTTGTTTGTTTTTGGGTGGTCGCAGGAAAGCTACAGGCACCGCAAAGGAATGTGGTTTACTCCTCGAGTGGATGGACTGTTTGCTAAAAACATGAAAAGGAAAAAGGCTCGAATTGTGGGGAGAAGCCGAGTGCTTGTCAGATGACGTGGGGGTTTTGGAAAAAAAAACAAAAAACAAACCTGCAGACACGAAGACAGTCCGGTACTGTTTGTGACTTTTTATTTTCTTGTCTCTTCATCCATTTGTTTCCTCGACAACGTCCACGGCGAAACCACACGCCAACAGTTGGTACGACCAAACCCCCCCCTCCCCGTCTTCGTTTCCATCTCGAAGAGAACCGTCGCTTTGTTTCAGCCTCATCGAGTACCCGTCTCAATGACTGAAACAAACAGGAACAAAGAATGCGCACGGATGGACTTATTTAAGACTTGAAAAGTCGTACTGACGGCAAGAACAAAAGGACTCGAGAACGAGAGGAGAAGCCAAATGCCGTTTTCCTTCAACCGCACACGTAGCTGATAAACAAGGACGCATCTCTCAGGACATGGCTTCAATTTCCTTGATCGCCGTTTTGGTTTTCAGGCTTCACAACTTGCACTCCCGTACTTATACTGAGCAATACACAAAAAGTATCTTGGAAAACTTCACTTTGCCTATTTATTTAGAGTACCACGGTAACTGGCTGGACACCTACAAAAGCTCTCGGCTCAAAGCTTTCCTCTTAACCACCAAACAGGTCCGATGCTGTCCTGAATTTAAGTGCAATATTTTTATTTTCATGTTTTATTATGATTAATATTATTATTATTATTATTGTTCATTTATTTGGATTTTTTGGGGGTGGGGGTGGGGGGGGACAAGCGGCTTTAGCTCTCGATGAACTTTATATGTTAGGAGAGGAAAATTAGAGCTCTAAGTTTTACTTAACAGTGAAAAACTCTCAACAAGCCTATAAGTTGTTTCATGGATCGAAAGCAAGTCATGATTTTAACTGTGTGTTTGCCCCCCGGCAGCGGGCCGCCGGGAACTTTATGGTTGTACATATAATTCTTTAAGAAAACGAGGTGATAAAAGATGCAAAAAAAAAAAAAAAAAAAACAACAATTGACGCGACCAGAAGGTTTCCACTGATTGTGAAAGTGGGATTCAGCTGTACTTATGTAAATAAAAGAGACTCCAAAAACTATAAGATGACATGTAATGTTGACGAATAACAAAATAGTTGAAATGAGCAAGAACCGGGCACCATGTTGGCCCTTTTCTCTCTCCCCCTCTCTCTCTCTCTCTCTCTCTCTCTCTCTCTCTCTCTCTCTCTCTCTCTCTCTTTCTCTGTCTCTCTTTCTCTCCCGGTCATACATAATAACACTGCTTGTAAGAAGTTTTATGAATGCATTTGATCATTTCCACTCTTTACAAGTCAAAATGCGTCTTCTGTGATATCACGTGAAAACAGTAGATTGCATCTGGTGTCAATGCTAATGATAAATAAAACGATCAGCTGACCAAGTCGACCCGTGTTGTCCCTGCAACAATTTTTCTTTTTTTTGGTTTGTTTGTTTGGTTTTTGCAATGGGCGCTCCCACCACCAACAAAAACAACAGTAGCTCATTTGAGCCCCGAAAAGACATACGTTGCTTGATAAAGAATGTATGTCAAGCAGTTAATGGAGACCACTGACACGTTAGCAAGGCTGTTTCTCGAACAAGCATAAACTTTCTCTCAAAGCGTACAAACTACATCTATGCTAGCTCTCTCTCTCTCTCTCTCTCTCTATCTCTATCTCTCTGTCTGTCTTTCTCTCCCGGTCATACATAATAACACTGCTTGTAAGAAGTTTTATGAATGCATTTGATCATTTCCACTCTTTACAAGTCAAAATGCGTCTTCTGTGATATCACGTGAAAACAGTAGATTGCATCTGGTGTCAATGCTAATGATAAATAAAACGATCAGCTGACCAAGTCGACCCGTGTTGTCCCTGCAACAATTTTTCTTTTTTTTGGTTTGTTTGTTTGGTTTTTGCAATGGGCGCTCCCACCACCAACAAAAACAACAGTAGCTCATTTGAGCCCCGAAAAGACATACGTTGCTTGATAAAGAATGTATGTCAAGCAGTTAATGGAGACCACTGACACGTTAGCAAGGCTGTTTCTCGAACAAGCATAAACTTTCTCTCAAAGCGTACAAACTACATCTATGCTAGCTTCCCACATTTGTATTTGACCATGTAGCGCAATATACCTTTGATCGCTATACATCCGGATTTTTGTTTTTTTTTTTGGGGGGGGGGGGCCTCGAGCAAGTTGGGTATAGTTCAACATTGTAGCGATGACATGAGCTAGCATAGATAGCCAACGGCACATCCTCGACCCGGCTCCCTTCTAACAAGTAGCTCGGCTACTAAGCAATGCTTTCGTTAGATTTATTTGACATTGCATCAATGCCATGAGCGCATCACAGGCTGACTTGATAATCTCGAGACCCATGTTGTCCCTGCAACAATTGTTCTTTTTTTTGGTTTGTTTGTTTGTTTTTTGCAATGGATGTCCTCGAGCATCACAAAAGAAGAAGCAACGCTACCACCACCAACAAAAACAACAGTAGCTCATTTAAGCCCCGAAAAGACATACGTTGCTTTAGAAAGAATGTATGTCAAGCAGTTAATGGAGACCACTGACACGATTAGCAAGGCTGTTTCTCGAACAAGCATAAACTTTCTCTCAAAGCGTACAAACTATATCTATGCTAGCTTCCCACATTTGTATTTGACCACGTATCACAATATATCTTTGATCGCTGTACATCCGGATTTTTGTTTTTTATTGGGGGGTGGAGGGGGCCTCGAGCAAGTTGGGTATAGTTCAACACTGTAGCGATGACATGAGCTAGCATAGATAGCTGACGGCACATCCTCGACCCGGCTCCCTTCCTACAAGTAGCTCGGCTACTCAGCAATGCTTTCGTAAGATTTATTTGACATTGCCTCAATGCCATGAGCGAATCACAGGCTGACTTGATAAACTTTGATAATCTCGAGCGGCTTTAGATGAGGGGTGGTAAACGTAGGGCCCCGCAGGTCAGATCAGGCCCCGCTATCGGGTTGAATGAGATGAGTTGGGAAAGCATGAAAAAAAAGTCCGGCCCAAATGAATTTTAGTAGTACTCAAGTCAGAGACAGCTCTCAACTTATTTCCCTGCACTTTTCCCATAACCTCGTTTCTTTTCGTTTGGATCGTGAAGTTGAATGAGATGATCAACAAGCATAAACTTTCTCTCAAAGCGTACAAACTATATCTATGCTAGCTTCCCACATTTGTATTTGACCACGTATCACAATATATCTTTGATCGCTGTACATCCGGATTTTTGTTTTTTATTGGGGGGTGGAGGGGGCCTCGAGCAAGTTGGGTATAGTTCAACACTGTAGCGATGACATGAGCTAGCATAGATAGCTGACGGCACATCCTCGACCCGGCTCCCTTCCTACAAGTAGCTCGGCTACTCAGCAATGCTTTCGTAAGATTTATTTGACATTGCCTCAATGCCATGAGCGAATCACAGGCTGACTTGATAAACTTTGATAATCTCGAGCGGCTTTAGATGAGGGGTGGTAAACGTAGGGCCCCGCAGGCCAGATCAGGCCCCGAAATCGGGTTGATGAATGAGATGATTTGGGGAAAGCATGAAAAAAAAGTCCGGCCCAACTGAATTTTAGTTGTACTCAAGTAAGATACAGCTCTAAACTTATTTCACTGCACTTTTCCCATAACTTTGTTTCTTTTCATTTGGATCCTGAAGTTGAATGAGATGATAATTCTTGGCTTGATAAGCTTTGCTTCCTTCCGCCCTTTCTCGAACTTGCACTTTATCATAGTGTGCCATTTTTCTTTTTCTTTTTTTTTCCTTTCCTCCATTGTTTTCCCTCCCGCTATGAGGTTTTTATTTGTGTGCTTTGTTTGAGACAAAAATCAAAAAAATGTGACTGAGACTATAAACAGCACTTCTGTACTTTATTTGGAAATCTTTGTGTGTGCATGTGTGTGCGTGTGCGTGTGTGTGTGTGTGTGTGTGTGTGGCTTCAAAAGTTTGAGAACAGCTGTGTCACGTGGTGTCGAATGCCACTGCACTTTATGTGATACACCAAAGAAGGGCAGTTGGACGAGACACAAAGGTTGGGGTCTTTTCGGGGTGGGATTAGCGGAAACAGTCGGAGCTGTGTGCTGCCATTGCACGTGTTTGTGTGTGTGTGTGTGTGTGTGTGTGTGTCTTAAAATGAGGGGGTTGGTTAGTCAGAAGTGGTGGTGCTGCTCCTAATCTTCTTTAGCAGCTGCCATCTGTTTTGACACACTGTTTCTTTTTGCCCGGTTTCCTCCTCAGCCTCTGTCGACTCTTTATTTTATTTTTCTTTTAATCGCCGCGTGCTCACGAGCAAGGGAAGTCCCTCTGTCAAGATTCTCGCTCAGAATTTTGTTCACACTTCCTTCCTGCCGTTGTCTGTGCAAAGTCTATCGCGGTATTTGTCAGTGTTTTGGAAAAGCAGCTGTCATGAGTTTTTCCTTTTGTCTTCGTCTTTTTCCCAAATATGGCAGCATCGGGATTCCTCCGTGGTCTGTTATCTTCAAATGGCCATTGCTCTATGCCAGGCCCATGACTTTCAGTGTCTTTATTTACAGCCGCTTTCAACAATTGCATAACATTTTATCGTGTTGATCAGACGAGGAAATCCTCTTTTTCTTTTTTGGTTTTTGTCCCTCGTGCTTTGTACTCGCAACAACCTTGATAGGAAATTCGAGCAAAAACAGGTGAGGCTTTGTTTTATTTAAAGACTCAACACTTACGCAATATGTCACACAATAAGAGCGAATAACACAGATCTCAACCAAGGTCAAACAATACAACTACAAATGGTAACATACAAAGTGAGAGCAGCAGTGAAATCCTGAAAATGATCAACGGCCTTTGACACCATGCTCCGCCCAGTTTAGCTGGAGAAGGCCAAAAAGATTGCTAAAATAGCATCAGGCATCTGTGTTGGAGAACTGTTTCCAATTAGGTTCTCATTCG